AGCTGCGCCCTTTTCTGGAAGTAAGGGATTTCGAGACTGTTGTGCACATGCTGGTAACCTCACACCTTTATTTCTGTAATGCGCTCTACATGGGGCTACCCCTGTGCTTAGTTCGGAAGCTTCAGTTGGTCCAAAACATGGCAGCCAGGCTCATTTCTGGTGATCTAGGAGGGACCACATTACTCCTGTTTTGAGGTCCCTCCACTTGCTGCCTATTAGCTTCTGGGCACAGTACAAGGTGTTGGTTATCACCTTTAAAGCCCTAAATGGCTTGGGTCCAAGCTATCTCAGGGACTGCCTCCTCCCATACAATCCTCCCCGCGCCCTCCGGTCCTCTGGGAGGTACCTGCTGCAGCCTCAAAAACTCAGGCTTGCGACGACCTCCCATAGGGCTTTTTCTGCTGTTGCCCCCAAACTCTGGAACGACCTGCCAGATGAGATCCATCAGCTGACATCCTTAGACAGCTTCAAAAAGGCTGTTAAGATGAATCTCTTCCAGCAGGCCTTTCCAGATTAATTATCCCAGCCTTGGGCTTCCCGGTCCCCTCGGGTTTTCCAGCCTCCTTAGGTTACCCGGCCCCCTTTTTTCTGATGGATGAGGAATGTTTAGAGGTTGGCCGGGTTTTGTTTTGTGTTGTTGATTTATAAATATTTTTATAAATGTTTTGATTATTTTAATTATGAGATGTTTAATATTGTTTTAAGGGGTGGGTGGGTTGGTCTTAGGGATTATATTGTATGGGTTTTTTATGTAAGCCGCTTGGATTGTCTTTTTCAATAAGCGGGATATAAATAAATTTTATTATTATTATTATTATTCCAGATCCCTCATATCCAGATAAGGGAGCAGTTGGCGTATCAGCTGCAGCTGATAGCAGGCACTCCTGACCACCACATTCACCTGACTAGTCATGTGAAGTGATGAATCTAGGAGCACCCCCAAATTGAATTCAGATGAGAGCATAGTGAAAATAAGCAGGGTTTGCTGTGTGAAAAGAAAATTACCATCCCCAAATGGTAGCAAGATGCTGTCCAAATATGAATATTTTTCACTGTTGTTCATACTCCTCTGACTTAAAAAAACCAAAAACCAAAAACAAACCACCACCACCACAACAACAAAATAAAACACCTTGCAGCATCATTTATAAGCTTCTCTGTCATGCACCGGTCTCTTTCATCCTCTGTCTTTCTATAGGTCTCACAGTGCCTGCCATAGACGTTTTTGCCAATTAAAGCAAGGTTTCCTAATTAAACAATAGATTGGTTGACTGGCTCTTGATATTACAGAGGTTACTTCCATAGTAGGAGACTTTAGTGCTTCAGGAAATGGGATATTATTTTGCAGCAATCAGGGGAAGGAGAATTAAAATTTTTGTTCCATACAATACTTTACATTGGCTACATTTATAACAAGCCCATCCTAACAACCAAAGTCTTGTAAACTCAATAAAGGTCCTCTGCAACTTAACCTTCTTCCTTACATCTTTTGGCTCTGATTGTTCTGTTCAATACAAAATAGAGTAAGGCTGTATCTACACTGCAGAATTAATGCAGTTTGACATTGCTTTAACATCCATGGCTCAATGCTGTGGAATTCTGGGATTTGTAGTTTTGTGAGCTATTTACTCACTTCTGTCAGAGAACTCTGGCGCCACAACAAATTACAAGTCCCCGGATTCCATAAGATTGAGCCACGACAGGTGTCAAACTCCATTAATTGTGTGGCAGTGTGGCAGCAGCTGGAGTATTAAGCTGCCCTTTAAGAGCAATTCAGTTAGGCTCCATTTTCTGGGAGCTTTATTGTGAAACAGCATAATAAAAAAGGAAGAAAAATTAAGGAGAGAAAATGAGTAACTAAAACAAGCAGAGTTCCTGCAATGAAAAAGAAGCACCCAATTAAGGGGAAGTTCACTGATGACGTGCCTCCACTGAAAATGGAAAATTTGTGGCCAGAGTCATATGGTGTAAGCATCCAAATAAAAGCACAATAGCCCTGAAAAGCAGAAGTAGTGCTTTTCCAACCAGGATGACAGTGTCCTTAAAAGGGAAGGATTATTGCAAATCAGGTTTGGAAAATGTTGAGAAGACGATCCAGAAAATATTGGAAGGCAATAGATTTTTTGGTAATGAAGTTGTCTCAGTCTGGATCACTAATGGATAGGAATTCCAGATTGCAAATATGGAAGAGCCTAAAGACCCTTCTGGATTGTGAAGGTTTTTTTAGATCTGAGGTTATCAAGTTCCTCCGCACATATTATTACGTTACCCTCCCTCATCTAGTAAAGCCATTTCAAGGTGATTGGATGTATAGGAAGCAGCTTCCTGCAGTGGCATTATTTTCCAGTTGTGACATAATGAGAATTACCACTGTATTGCCCTAAAATGCATGTATTCCACTACCAAAAGATACTCAGCAGCTTACTTTTCCTGGGAAACTTATCAAAAGGTTGCTTTCTTGAAGCATAACAAAAAATCTTTCTTTTCTTTTATCATCTTCTTTGCTAGACTTAAAACAGATTGAGTATGACAGCTAGATTAAAAACAGAGTGGGTATCATGTCATTTTTATGGAAAGTAGTCTGTGATTTAATTGTTTAATTTTGTTGTTTTTATTGAGCATTTTTAGAATTGGGGAACTTAGAAGGGGAGAGAAGACTTTGAAAAGGTACTTTGTATGGAGAGTTCCATTCTTTCCAGTCACTGGGTAATACTCAAATTTGGTTTCATTTTTTTAACCTAATGCACCACCTAAAATTAATCTCTCCTTTTCTAATATAAAGATTATCACAATTCTCTATATTTCTGCTCACTCTGGACTTTTTGGCAAGGCAAAAGATAGACCTGAATTGCAACTGACTTTTATGCTTTTGAAATGGAAACCAGCCGCTGCTTCTTTATCCCATAATGAATTGCTCGGTGTAATCTGATACCTGTGACACTTATATTCATTTAATCTGGAAATCTCCATGAAACTCAATCAATTACATACCTTAGGGCTCTGACCAATTTTTTTTGCTTTTTATTCTCACATTCCCTTTTTTCTATATTACTTAACCTGATGAAGAGATCTAGAGAACTCAAAGGTTTACATACTTTGTTTCATTTTGGTTTATCCTTATAATTTCTCATGAATGAACACATTTTTTTTTTTAAAAAATTCTTGCACACATATTCCAACTCATGTGATGTGGTGGGTGAGAAATCCAAAGGGTTTAACAGTGGTTTAGGCGTCTCACTGATGAAGATGTCATAGAATAATAGAATCATAGAGTTGGAAGAGACTATAAGGGCCATCCAGTCCAATCCCCTGCCATGCAGAAACTCACAATCAAAGCACACCCAACAGATAGCCATCAAGCCTCTGTTTAAAGACCTCCAAAGAAGGAGACTCCACCACACTCTGTGGGAGTATGTTCCACTGTCAAACAGCCTTTACTGTCAGGAAGTTCCTCCTAATGTTCACATAGACTCTCTTTTTCTGTAGCTTGCATCCATTGTTCCGGGTCCTGTTCTCTGGAGCAGCAGAAAACAAGCTTGCTCCATCCTCAATGTGACATCCCTACTTAAACAGGGCAATCATATCACATCTCTTCTCCAGGCTAAACATATCCAGCTCCCAAAGTCTCTCCTCATAAGGCATGGATTCCTCATGTATGTGGGGCCTTTCTTTCTCCCATTCCATTTAACAATTTCTCCTCCCTTTGGCACCAAGGGAAGGAAAACTCTAATGCCAGCTCCAGGACTCTTGTAGTTTTAATCCTTGTTGGCATGCAAGGGGAATGAGGAAACTATAGATTAGGGATGGAAAGAATACTTACATTCATTCTCAATTCCTCCCAAAATTTCCAACATTTTAGGACACCCCCCCCCAACAATAACAGACCAGAGGGAAATTTTGCACATTTTTCATCTGGTTCAAACCTTCTGAAGGGTTCTGGAATTATCTAGCAGGGGAAAAAATGGGTGGGTGGGTGTGCATGCGCAACCCCCCAAACTTTTGTGTGCAGAAAATGATTTTTCTGTGCAGAAAGCACTTTGCAGAAAACCTTTTATGCTGTGCAGAAAACAGGGGTTGCACAAAACTTCTCATGTTTTTCTCTTCAAAATAATTCCTCTACAACATTTCTTGAGATTCAAATATAGGAAGAATACTGCAGATGAATATTTGTTTTTTTCCACAGCAGGGAGAAAACTGGTGCAATTATTTGTCCTCACATGTGAGGATGAAATAGTAAAGGATTTACGTCTCTACTATGAATCCATGGCTTCTGATCCAGCCTGACCCATGCTTGGATGGCCCTTCTTCCTGTATCATTGGAGTAATGCCCTCAACAGTATATCTGTTCTGGCAGAGCTTACTGATGGTATAGTGGGAGCTCTTT